CGCCAAACTACTATAAATTGTAAGCACCTCTGACACTTGGGGGAAATCAGACTCATTTGAGCATAATTCTCTCCTCTCCTCTCAAAACTTGTAATCATGTGCTCTCTCTCCACACCAGAGATAATAAAATTCCGGCGAACCTAGTCATTCAAAGTGGACGTAGGTCGTATTGACCAAACCACTATAAATCATGTCTTCTCTCTCCTTCTACTTACTGCATTTTATACTACAACTTGACTAGTGGCGTGCAAACTAATTTGTGCATCATCAGTTTGACACCGTATGTGGGAAAGACAGTTCTCACCTAACCATTTTCCTTTGCTGAGTCAAAGTCGATCACCAACAGATCCATAAATTAGCTTGAAGATAACCCATCACCAAGAGAGGAGGAGGTTGCTCCTCAACCAACCAATCCTGCCCCAAATGAGCAGCAGATGCTCGAGACCATGCAGCAACTTGCGGCCCAGAACTAACAGATCCTACAACTAATGCTCCTTGGGCGTCAAGGAGTTCTCCACATGGGCACTCCTTATCTAGGAAGAGGAGCACAGCCTGGACCTCAAGTCAGATGAGCTCCACGCCCTGGGCGTCAAGGAGCTTCCCAGATGTGTGCTCCTCATCTGAGCGCCCCCTTTGGAGTCCCCTCAGGTGCCCCGCACAGGGGAGCTTCCCACAAGGGACCTCCACCTCCTCTTCCAGCTCCCTCTTTTCATGGTGGAGACCCTCTTTTCCAAGAGGATGGGAGTGAAAACCAAAGGTTGGAGCATGAGAGCCATATCCATGGTAATTCCAAGGGACGTTCTCCTAATCATTGGGACAAAAAAATTAAGGAGGTGCAGGATCAATTGGGTGATGTCTTCAACGCCATGAAGGCACGAGGACCCGAGATAGTGGATTATCTTGTAAGTCGAACCGACACACCTTTCAAACCTGACGTGGTGAACTACCCACTCCCTCAAAAATTCAAGATATCATCCGTTGAAACCTTTGATGGTACGAAGGATCCATTGGACCACCTTGAAACTTTTAAGACCTTGATGCAACTACACAACGTCCCTGACGAAATCATGTGCAGAGCGTTCCCAACCACCTTGAAGGGTTTCGCTTGATAGTGGTTCGCCAAGATCACCCCCGCTTCCATCAGCTCATTTGCTGAGCTAAGCAGGTCCTTCGTGTTGCACTTTATTGGAGGACGTCGTCACCAGAAGCCTACCACCCACCTACTCAGCATAAAGTAGGACCGAGATAAGAGCTTTCGAAGCTACCTCACTCGTTTTAATGAGGAGGTCCTTCAGGTTGAAGAGTCCAATGAAAAAGCCAGCATGACCGCTTTTTTGGGAGGCCTTCGGTCATCGAGCTTCCTTGTCTCCGTGATGAAACGCCCACCAAAGAGCATGCCAGAACTATTGGCAAAAGTTCAAAAATTTATGAATGCTGAGGAAATCAACAGGTCCAAGCGAGGTGAATCATCTCATAGATTGCCAAAAGCTTGACCTGCCTCTACACTATTCTTAAACAGGTAGTTTATCTCTAGCTTAGCGACTCTCTCGAGGGTCGCCAAAAAGCTTGGCCTACCTCTATACTGTCCTTAAACAGGTAGTCTATCTCTAACTTAACAGCTCTCTCAAGGGTCGCCAAAAAGCTTGCCTACCTCTGCACTGTTCTCAAATAGGCATTCTATCTCCAGCTTAGCGCTCTCTCACGGGTCGCTAAAAAAGGTTGACCTCTGCACTGTTCTCAAACAAGCAGTCTATCTCCCAGCTCTCTCAAGAGTCGCCAAAAAAGCTTGGCATCTACTCTTCTCTCAAGCAAGTAGCCTATACCTCAAGCTTAAAGACTCTCTCATGGGTCGCCAAAAACTCGATCTCAAAAGGTGTAGCTCTCTCACGAGCAATCCTCAAACTCTGTCTTGCTCTCGCGCAAGCAGCCTGTCTCTCTCTTCAGGTAATCATGTTAAATATTTTAATGTTTGGAATAACATTATTTTTGTCATCATAAGCAGGTTCACCCATCTCAGCTCGACGACATAGAACCGTTGGGGAATGTGATAAGCAGAAACAATCCTCAGAATATCATGGAAGAATTTGATTTTGAAAAGGTGCACTGAGAGGAGCTGGACCATCACTGCTGAAAGTGTCTAGCATACTCTACCCCCGGGCTCCAGAACTAAGCTCGCCAAGAAATTCCTGGGCAACCCTGTGTGCATGGGCAAGAACTGAACTCCCTACGGGGGCATCCAAAGCTCCTTGGCTACCTGAACTCCTCGAATCATCACCAAAAGTGGCACCCAAAATTTCCTTGTAACTTGCACTACTCAACGCAGTGCCTAGAGAGGCGCCTGACCCCCTCTGCTTGCCCAAATGGGTAGCCCAGTGCCTAGAGAGGTGTCTGGCCCCCTCTGCTTGTACAAACGAAGTAGTCCTGCAGGCGCCCAACCATTTGTGCTTGCCCAAAATGGCGCCTCTTGGTGCCTTCACGCCAAGACTAGCCTTCTTTCCACCTTCCTGCTCACCAAGATCAGCGCCCCTAGGGCCCTGATGGACCAAATCAGCACGCCCAGCGTGCAGGCCAGCATGCATGAAGACTCGAGCAAACCCCTCACCTACTGTGCGAACTGTGGCAACGCACAGCGATGTCGCCTGCTCACCCAGGCCCTTCTCGGCGCCTGTTTTCCCATCTCCATGCCACACCACCCCTCTTACGCGAGCAGGCTACTCCTCAAGATGACCTGGAGTGGCGCTTAGGCAATTCCCTAACTCACCCAAGGCCTCTTGCTTGCCTAAGTTCCTCAAGTCAGTACCCTAAAAGGCACCCAAGGCCTTTTGCTAGCCCAAAACAGCATGTCCAGCTGCATGGTCACCTAGAGCAGTGTCTGTTCGCCCAAAATCGCACGTCAGCGCGTCTACTTGCTATTTTGACCGTAAATTTTGCTATGTAAGTCAAAATGGGACACATTATATATCAAATCGCAGCTCTCGATGAGCTGAGCAAAAATCATTAGAGCTTTCCAAACAAAGTCCAAAAAATATCCAGAAAGAGATGTTTTGGCCTCTCGAAGTTTTAAAAAAAAAAATATTTACCCTGGAGGTTGTATGCTCACCAGGAGGTGGCTTGCTCGCCAAGGAGGTGGCCTGCTCGCCCAAAAACTGGCTGTTCGCCAAAAAACGCACTCTTGGCTCTTTACTCGTTATTTTGACCGTAACTTTTGATTCGTAACTCAAAATGGGGCTTATACCAAATCAAAACTCTCTACAAGCTGAGCAAAACTCATTACCTTTGGTAATGAGCTTTTCAAAAAAAATCTAAAAAACGTTCAAAAAGAGGTGTTTTGGCCTCCCAAAGTTTAAAAAAAAAAAAAATTCTTGCTCGGCCAAAACAGTGCTGCTCGCCCGGAACAGTACTCTGCTCACCTGGACAGCTGCTTGCTCGCCCAAATTACTCGCCTAGCTCTCTGCTCGAAATTTTGACAGTAACCTTTGTTCTGTTGCTTGAAATAAAACTTATAATATATCAAATCGAAACTCTCAGCGAGCCCTACAATATTCACAGCCTATGGCTGTGAATGATGCTATAAAAAGTACAAAAAAGACCTATAAACGGATATTTTGTACTTTCAAAGTTTTTCCAGTTATACCGGTCAGTCAAAAATTCAAATTCAACTTAAATGCCCTCCTTTCCAAGTTCTGTTGGACGCAAGATATTGGTGGGCAAATGATGGCTCAGGCCCAGCCCATGTTATAAGTCTGGTCCGAGCTAAAGGCCCAATTTCAAGAGATCCAGCTAGTCAAGTCCAAAAGAATCTACACCCGGATAACCTTATCAAGATCAAGGAGCTACATCAGCAGGGGAGCATGCACGGTCATCCAAGAGCCAGCCCTACCACCTTGGAGTAAGGGTCATCAAAGGGTCTCCTCTACTACCTTGGAGTAAGGGTCATCCAAGAGCCTCTTCTACGCCACCAAAGGAGCATCCAGAAACCTCACCCTCACCACCAAGGGAGCATCCAGGAGCCTCACCCTCGCAACCTGAAGAGAGTCAACCTCCTTTATCATTGAACAAGTCCTTTGGAGAGCACACCAACCGTCACACCTCGCCCGTTGAGAAGATGATAGATCGCCTCTGTCGGATCAGTTACCTAATTACTATCAAACGGTCCTAAGCCATAATGACCGTCAGAATAGTCATACAATTACTACACCAAACCACTATAAATTGTAAGCTCCTCTGACACTTGGGGGGCATCAGACTCATTTGAGCATAATTCTCTCCTCTCCTCTCAAAGCTTGTAATCATCTGCTCTCCCTCCACACCGGAGATAATAAAATTCCGTCGAACCTAGCCATTCAAAGTGGACGTAAGTCGTATTGACCGAACCACTATAAATTTTGTCTTCTCTCTCTTTCTACTTATTACATTTTATACTACAACTTGACTAGTGGTGTGCAAACTAATTTGTGCATCATCAACAACAATACACTTATTTCAATTACTTTATGACTAATGCTATTGAGATCTAATTTACTGACTTAATTTACTGATCTAATTTACTATGATTTTTAGATTGACTGTGGAGCCCATCAAACATTAAAACTTGTTGTTGATCCAATAATTCTATTAAAACCACATCATCATGTCAACAAATTAAGTCAAATTTTTAAGTCCAAATAATATTACTTGTACTTTATTTATTCTTCGTCTTTCTCTTTCCACTATCTTCCATCTTTCTATCTGTCTCACCTCTCCTTCTTCAATTATTTTTTCTCTCAACTCTCTCTTCTACCAATTATTTCCCTATCTTTTCTTTTCTTTCATCTCTTTTCTCTTCTTATCTTTTCCGTCTCTTTTTTAGATTCCCCTCTTTCTCTCTCTCTATCATCTCTTATTTAGATTTCTCTCTCTTATATCTTATTTAAATTTTGATAGTCCATCCTATCTCTTTCATCCATTTATTTCTCTTTTCTCTGCTTTTTCAATTACTCTTCTTCAATCCATTTTCTCTTGTATTTTATTCTATCTATTCTATTTATGTTCTCCACCATCTTATACTTCTCATGTTCTTTTATTCTCTCTCTTCTGTCTCTTTTCTCCACCATATATCACTGAGAGGTTGTATTGATTGTTGTTTCAAGAAAATCATCTGCTGTTGCTGTAAATTCAAAGGATTCAAGGTAGTGATGCTTTCCTTCAATTCCTTCTTTTTTTTAAAAAAAAAAGTAAATTTGTTTTAGAAATTTGTATATTCAAATCCGATTTCTATTCATTTGTAAGTTCTATTTCACTTCACAACCAGGCAGCCATCATTTCTCCAAGCGTAGAACTTTGCTGTGTGTGTCTGTGAGAGAGAGAGAGAGAGAGAGATGGAAGAAGTTCGCGTCGTCTCTACATGTACAATTCGACCGGCGAGATCAGAAGATCGTGACGACTCAACTCAGAGGATGGAGTTAACACCATGGGACCTCCAGCTCCTTGCAGTTGGCCCAATCCAAAAGGGTCTCCTCCTCCCCAAACCCCAACCTCAAAACGAAAAAGAACTAACAGAAGACATGTCTCTTATTGATCATCTGAAAGCCTCACTCTCTCGCACCCTAGACTACTTCCCACCCCTCGCCGGCCGCCTCGCCGTCACTAAACACACCGACAACACTACTTCCTTCTTCATCGACTGCAACGACGCGGGAGTTCAGTTCACTCACGCCGCTGCGAACGACCTTACTGTCTCCGATATTCTCAAGCCATTGTACGTGCCCGGTATAGTTCATTCCTTCTTCCCCATGAATGGAGTTCTCAACCATGAAGGCGTTACGAATCCTTTGGTGGCAGTCCAGGTAACAGAGCTCATTGATGGCTTCTTCATTGGGTGCACCATGAACCACTCCGTAGCAGACGGGACATCTTTCTGGCTGTTCTTTAATTCATGGTCTGAGATATCTCGTGGTCTGAATCGTCATCTGTCCAAACCTCCTGTTCTTGAACGTTGGTTTCCAGATGGTATCAATTTTCCCATTCCTACTCCTTTTTGTGACGAAAAACTGGTTGACACATTCGTTCGAACACCAACCCAAGATCGGGTTTTTCATTTTAGCAAACAGATTGTCGGCAAACTCAAAGCACAAGCCAACGCCGAAATGGGTACCGATCGAATCTCCTCTCTTCAAGCCCTTTTGGCTCACGTTTGGCGATCTGTCATACGCTGTCGCAATGTCGCCGGAGACCGAGAAGCTATATTTATATTTCTAATAGGAGCTAGACAACGGTTGTTTCCGCCTCTACCGGAGGGGTATTTTGGGAACGCCGTTCACTCTGGGCTCGTAGCCACTACCGCCGGCGAGCTGATCGAACAAGGACTGGGCGGGGCGGCTCTGCAAATGAACAAGATGATTGCTCTGCAAACCCATGAAGAAGTAATGAATTTTTACGAGAATTGGGTGAAGAACCCTAGGCTGGTGAAGATGGGTACTATGCTGAATACGTCATTGGCAACGAGTAGCTCGCCGCGGTACAATGTGTACGGGAATGACTTCGGTTGGGGCAAACCGTTGGCCGTACGAAGCGGTGGAGCGAACAAGTCCGACGGGAAGATAACAATTTTTCCGGGGGTTGAAGAAGGGAGTATAGACATTGAGGTTTGTCTTCTGTCGGAAACATTGAGAGCTTTGGGGGATGATTCAGAGTTCATGGAAGCTGTAACCATCTGATTTGAACACTAAAACTTGATTGTTTTGAGGGTTTAATTTATTACTTTTCGTACAATTTGGTTTTGATTTGGGAATTTTAGGTCATTTGTTTAGAATAATCTACCGCAGCTGAGCTTCCGAGGTTTGTTGCACCTTTGCCAATGCTCACTGCCTGTTCCGAGCTTCCTGTTTCCTTATATTCAATATTTTTTATCTATTTCAAAAGTTACAAACCTGAACACACAGTTACAAAAATAAATAAATAAATAAATAAAGAAACTAGTCCTGAACAGTTGCTTGTGTGATTTTTTTTTTTTTTTTTAACAGAAACAAGTGTTGTTACAATTTCTCATTGGGTTTGAGCATCACATGGCACAGCCACGTGGTAAGGGACGAAGCCAGAAATTTGTTTTAAGATGAACACACTTAACTTACAAAACTTAATTTTTCTTCTTCAATCAATAAAAGTATAGGTGTGCATATGTCTTCTTCTTCTTTTTTTTATATCTTTTTTGCATATTTAAATATTCATTAAATACAAAAGAGTTAAATGCCAATAGACGTGGTCTATATAGAAAATACTTAATAAAAAAGAAGCTAATTACAACTATCTACAGTGGACCGTACAACTTTTCATCCTTTGAAAAGATTGTATGATAGCATTATTAATAATGTTATTGGAAATGTATTTCTCTATATAAACAGTTAAGCTAATAGTAATCAATTTCAGGCAAATTCGCATCAATTTAAAAAAATTATAATAATTTTAAACAATTATGAATAGTATAAAATTGAGAATTATCGAAAAATTAGACTCAATCACTAGTCACAACACAAGTTGTCAAAGTTACGAAAAAAGAGCATGCATTCACTAATTGTTACACTTTTACTGAATTCAAATGACCAAAGTGGTTAAAGTCAATTTACGCAAATAATGAAAATAAAATCTCGACAACAATTATAACCCAATATAATTTACCAAGCACAAAAATCACCCGAGTTCTTCCCCGTGTGTGCGTCTCTCTGTCTCTCTCTTTGCAAAAAGTTCAAAAAATGTTGCAACTCTTACAACTTACATTTGTTTTCTGCCTTTTCTTGTGTGTAGCATGAGTGGGCAGTGGGGCTCAATTTTATCTCTAACTTTTTAACATATTTTTATCTTTTTTTTTTAGTAAAAAAATAGGCCCGACTATATTTTTACACAAAATGTAGTTAGTCCAAACTTATTAAAGTGAGCCCAATATTTTTTATTTATGGTCATCGAGATGGATCTAATTCTAACTACCTAATAAAAATTATTTATTTTCAGGGTGGCCATGTGCCCCTGGTCCTGTGCCCCTCTGCCCCTGACACGTTATTCTAAAAGCATTGAATATTTTTTGGACCAAAAAATTGATTGCTATATATCCTTGCAGTTTCAACGTTCGACTTTTTATATTATGGATAAATGGTGTACTTGGATCAAGGGTTTAAATCTCTTAAATAGTATTAATAAAAAGCGTGATTGTTGGCAGGACTGACTCTATCACAAGACCAATAAAGTCTAAACTTTTGACCTCATATTCAAAGAAGGGCCCCAAAACTTTAAAGTGCATAGTTAAACTTAGGGTTTTTTTAGGTGTGAGTATAATTTTTAATATTTATTTATCCAAAAGTGTATGAATAGATGATTTATTCTTTTAAGTACATTTTTTGTTAAATTTTTTATGTTTAGGTACAAAATTCAAATGAAATGAAATATTTTTTATTTAAACACCCTTCCATATTTTATGCAATCATGATTGATAGTTATTTTAGGAAACAAATATTTAAAGATTACATATTTGTTATTTTTTTAATTTTTTAATTTTGAATGAACAGATTTGAGAGAGATTTATGGATATATTGATAGTTATTTTAGGAAACAAATATGTAATCTTTACATATTTGTTATCTTTATTTTTTTTGAATCAAACGTATGTATTCTAACTGATAGTCTTCTTCAACCTTATTCTTCTTCAACGTTTATTTATTTTTTCGGCGGTGATTTTCTTTGAAAAAGGAATTGAAAATACCAAACATTGTCATCGGATTGAAGGTGAGTTGTTAATAATTATGTTTCTTCCTTTTTCGGTAATTTTTTTTTTTTGTTGGGATTTTTCCATGTTCGGTTTTTGTTGTATGGTCGTTTATGGAGGAGTTCCAAACTGGTTTTCAATTCAAATGGGTGTAACTAGTTGGTCGATTATGGAAGAGTTTCAAACTGATTTTCAATTCAAATGGGTGTAACTGGTTGGTCGATTATGGAGGAGTAAAAAACTGATTTTCTATTCAAATGGGTGTAACTGGTTGTCACGAGTGTAACTATTTTTGTTGTACACAAAATAATTATATTTTTTATACTACTTGATCAATGTTTTTTTTTTGAAAATTAATATGTTGCATTTTTCTGTATGTTTTGGTCGTTGTTGGGATGAATGGGAAAAAATTGGTTTAGGTTTAATGGTTGTAACTGTTTTTAAAAGTTTTTAAAAAAAAATGCTTTTAAAAAACTGATTTGGATCTTATATTTTGGAAGATCCTGTTATTTTCTAAATTTTTTTTGTTTTATGTTTTTTTTTTACCAGTAAGTAGATAATTACTGAATTGCTTTGTATTAATATTGTACATAACTGTTTCGTGTAACTGTTGTTCTTTTCCTTTTTGAATTGATATAACGTCATTCATTTTTTTAATGTCTTAATCAGGAATGGATGGAATGGTGTTGCTTGTATGCAAATATGATGTTGAAACTTTTATTATCAGATGTTCTGTTCGTGCAACATTCGATTTCATTTATAGTAGACTTTGTGAAAAATGGGAGGACTTGGGGAAGCTGTCTATCATCATGTCATATTCTATACCAGGTCACTCAAAATATTGTTTGCAAAATGATGAAGACTTGCGTAATATGTTTGATATAATGCGTTTGATAAATGTCAATCATGTTGAGGTCATGGTAACTGGGCAAGATAAAGAGGCACGTGTGGTAGGTGATGATAATTTGATTGGAGATGTTCATATTTGTGATGATGGTTTGGAGTCTGATGATGATTTGCTCCCTCGCTTCTGCTCAAATACGGAAAAATTATTGTTGACAGCTGGATGGTCAAATGAAATAAGACATGTAGGCCAAAAGTTTGAAGGTGGTGTCACACATTTTCGTAAAGCTCTGTGTAAATACTCAATTGAGGTTGGGTTCAAGTTTAATTACGTGAAGAATTATAGGGATAGAGTTATTGTTGAGTACGCGTTGAAGTATGATAAAGGGTGTGGATGACATATCAATGCTACTATTCATAATCTTAATGGTTTCTTTTACATACGAAAAATGAATAAAGAACACACATGTGGAGTAGCATTGCGTACCACAAAGAACAAGAGATTGTCTTGCAATATGATTGCAGATTTGATTGTTGATAATGTTCGTGACCAGACCTCCACTCGTCCTGTGGATGTGGTTAGTAATTTCCTTACATCTTATGGTCTTGACGTATCCTATCACCAATCATGGATGGGAGTGGAAAAAGCAAAGGGTATGCTTTTTGGGGATCATACGTTGTCGTACAAACAGTTACGCTGGTATGTGGATGCTGCGAATAATACAAACCCCGGGAGTCATATAGTTTTGTATTGCGATGATGACACTGATCGCTTTCATAGATTGTTTGTGTCATTCAAGGCGTGCATCGAAGGTTTCAATTATTGTCGTCCAATTTTATTCATTAATGGGGCATTCATTAAAGGAAAGTACAAAGGAATCATCCTTTCGGCAATTGGGAAGGATGGTAATCAGGGTATGAGTTTTTTAACTTTTTTTTTTCTAAATGTACGTGTTAATTTTGTATTTTCTTTGTAGTATTGGGTCATTTTAATTTTTCTTAGTGTTTGATTTTTTCATAGGTACTTAATAATCTGGTTTGCTTTTTTTTTTTTTTCTTTTTTAATGTCTTTATAAAACATGGTGTTTATGCATATTTCTTTAATTGTTAATGTAACTGTATAATGTATATATTATGTAATTTTTAATTAGTGTAACTGTTACTGTTTATTGTAACAGTTTTAAAATAACAGGTTGTTGTATATTTGTTATTATGATATAAATTCGTAGGCTATTATTTTAATATTTCACTTAACTATACACATTTACCTTTGTGTTACAGGATTACACCCACTAGCGTTTGCGATCGTTGACTCCAAAAATGAGGCGAATTGTTTATGGTTCTTACAACAATTGTGTGAGATTTTGGATCTAAATAGGAAAATGACATTTGTATCTGATCGTAATGTTGGTTTGTTGGAAGTCATGCCAAAAGTTTTTCCAATGTGTCACCACGCTTTCTATTTGCAGCACTTGAAGGTGAACTTGAGGGACAAGTTTAGCGGTACTCGGTATTCAAATGGATTTAGGGTGCATATGGTGGTGGTGTTGTGTGAGTGTGCTTATGCCCCCACCATTTCATTGTTCACCCAAAAAATTGAACGTTTTCGACGTGAGGGTGGACACATTGTCGAGCGTTTTTTGGATAATCTTTCATATGAGCATTGGGCAAATGCATACTTTAGAGGTAGACGTTACGGCGAGATGAACTCTAATGCAGTGGAGTCGTTCAATTCGTGGATTATGAAAGCACGGCATTTACCCATTACGAGCATGGTTGACACTATCAGGTGTCAAATTATGAATCAGATGGGTACTAGGATGATCACAGTGTGTACATGGAATGGAATTGTATGTCCTAAGATGGATTCAAGATTACAAGTTGCATTTGCCGAAAGCAGGGCTTGGACTGTTAGTGTTTCAAACAATGATGTTTACGAAGTTAATTTAAATCCTTATGTTTCAGTCGACATCAACAGTGGCACGTGTTCATGTTTTCAATGGCAGATTAATGGGTTCCCTTGTTCTCATGCAGTAGCGGCGATACGAAAGAGTCAGAGAAATATGAATGAGTTCGTTGGTTATTTTTATCATGTTAGTACATACAAGAAATCGTACGCTCAACCTATACTCCCAATCCCGACTCTTGGTCATTCAGACTTCAATGTTGACGAATCTGAGATTTTGCCACCGTCAACAAAGAAGCAGCCTGGCCGACCAAAAAAATTGAGAATTAGGTCTAGAGGAGAACTTATTAGACGAATTCGA